TCAGTGTCTGACAAGAGCCACCTTTCTGGTTCATAGACAGCACCTTGAGGCTGCAATGTCACATAGCTGAAGTGTGGAAGGATCTTTCTGAGGTCTCTTCTATAAGGGCACTAATCCATTCATGAGGGCAGAGCCCTCATGACCTCGTCACCTTTCAAAGACCGCATCTCTTAATACCACCACCTTGGGGGTTAGGGTTTCAGCACATTACTTTTGAGGGGGTGACACAAACATTCAGTCCCTTGTACTATTCACATTTCCCTGATTGTCATCATATTTTTATTTTTTTAATTAATTTATTTTTGTTACAGATGTTTCTTCTTTTTACCCTACTGATCCCCCCCCCCCCCACCGCCGCTCTATCTCCAGCTTTGTTGTCCATGTCCATTGTTCATGCACACTGCATATAAGTTCTGTGGCTTATCTCTCCCCCACCACCCCCTCTTCTGGGGATTGTCAGTCTGTACCCCACTTCCATGTCCCTGGGACTACCCCATTCCTCAGACTGTTATGTTCATTATATTCCACAAATAAGTGAGATCATATGATACTTGTCTTTCTCTGTTTGGCTTGTTTCACTTAGAATAATACTTTCCAGGTTCCTCCATGTCATCTCAAAGGATAAGAGATCTTTCTTACAGCTGCATAGTACTCCATTGTGTATATGTACCACTCCTTTTTTATCCATTCGTCTACTGATGGACATTTGGGCTGTTTCCAGATCTTAGCTATTGTAAATAGTGCTGCTACAAACATGGGGGTACATATATTCTTTCTGATTGGTGTTTCAGGCTTCTTAGGGTATATTCCTAGAAGTGAGATCATTGGGTCAAATGGCAGTTCAATTTTTAATTTTTTGAGGTAACACCATATTGTTTTCCATAGTGGCTGCACCAGTCTGCATTCCCACCAGCAGTGTACTAGAGTCTCCTTTTCTCCACACCCTCGCCAACACTTGTTGTTTGTGTCATCATATTTTAAATAATCAGTGTGTTTGAATCAGGATCCCAAAAGACCCACACGTTATATTTGATTGATACGTATGTCTCTTCTAATTTATTCTCCCTCTCTCTCTTTTTTCTTTGTGTTGAAGAAACTGGGTTCTTTGTCCTGTAGAATTCCCCTCATTCTGAATGTGGCTGAAGGCATCTCTGTGGTATTATTGAATAAGTTCCTCTGTTCCCTGTTGTTTCCTGTAAACTTGAAGGCCATGCTTTTAACCCCTGTCCCATATTGCCTAGCAGAGGGGAGAAAGGTGACAAGGTGTTTCGTTTTCTGCTCATTTCTCCTTCTGAACCTGCTGTTTTTTTCACTTCAGGCCTAACACCGTTTTGGCCAAACTGGGGCCCCTGGACAGGAAAAGGCACATCTGCTGTTTCCCATTTGTGTTTCAGTCTATGCAGAAATAAGTTTTTTGTTTGTTTGTTTTTAAACTTTCTTGCTCCTTCAGAACTCTCTCATCTGCTAAGAGAACCTGGGGTAGGGGTGTGCTGTGGGTGTGCTGAAGGTGTGCTGGGGGTATGCTGAGGGTGTGTTGGGGGTGTGCTGAAGGTGTGTTGGGGGTGTGCTGAGGGTGTGTTGAGGGTGTGCTGGGGGTGTGCTGAGGCTGAGGCCAGTGTGTTTCAGGGCACAGAGGTCACACAGGGCTCCCTCTGGGCAGGGAGCTTGCTGGACAGGAAGGTGCACTCTTTACTCCAGGGGGGAGAGGTTTGTGTGGGCTGAGAGTCGTGAGGCGGTGGTGAGTTTCTCATGTAGTTTGCCTGAAGTAAGTTCTGAAAGGAAAGTGACTTGTAGGTAGTTACGTGTTTTAATCCTTTATATCCTACAGACTAGAGAGTCCTGTAGCTGGTTTGTACTGTGGAAAGGGTCAGTACCTGCTAGTCCAGTGGCTCTCGACCCCTGCTGCTCATTACTCACTTGGGCAGGTTATTAAACAGATGCTGATGCCTGGAGCCCACCCCAGGCCAATAGAGTTTGAGTCTCTGGGTGTTCAGCTGGTGTTTGGAATACTCCGGCGATTCAACGTGCAGCCTGGTCCAGGGCCACCAAGCTGGTCTAGCCTTTCTGCCTTTGGGCTACAGGCTCAGTGAGTGTTTTATTCCCAAGCGCAGTGAGTTAGAGGGCTGGGTACGGAGGGCGGGAGGTTCCTTCTCAGACCATCGCCTTCAGCTGCTGCTCCCAAGGCCCGCGCTCCCCCAGGGGCGGTGGAGGGGGGAAGGCGGTGGGAAGGCCATGGACTGCAGGCCCCAACCCCTGCTGAGAATTAGCTGACTCACCTCTCTTGTGAAAGGAACTGGAAGCAACCACTTGGCTGACTCATTCTCCAGGTAAAGAAAAAGGGATGGAAAAACATCCACTGACTTTATCTCATGGGGTAAAGAGGGGGGCTGAATTTTGGAGGGGGAAAGAAGGCCATATATTGTAAACTACTGAGAAAATAAAAATTACTCAGATTGAGACAGTAGGAACCTTGCCTGCCACTCACCAGGCTGGGAGGATGGGCATTCAAGCAGCTACAAACAGTTTCTCCCAAGGCCCTGCTGCGTCTGGAAAGTGTCCCAACAACCTCCGTCTTGAGTTACTGCTCTTTCATACTCACTGAAACATCACCTCTCCCAGATCTCGGGGGCTTCTTTCCTAGGGGCACTAATGCCATTCATGGGGGCTGTGCCCTCATATCTAACCACCTCCCAAAGGCCCCTCCTCCAATACCATCACCTTGGGCATTAAGATTTAACCTGTGAATATTGGGGGGGGGGGGCACAGATACTCACTCTATAGTAATAGCCACAGTATAGTTACTATATTCAGGAATCTTACAATACTTTTATTAATCTATGTCCTACGTTTTGTCAGTTTTCTCATTAACGCGCCTGGGAATACCATTCCCCACTCCCTTCCCGTCCAGGATTCAGTCCAGAATCGCGCGATACATTTAGTGGTTTCCTTAGCTCCCTGTAATGTGGACATTTCCTCAGTCTTCCTTTGTCTCTATGGCATTGACATATTTGATGAAAAAGGCCAGTGATTTCGTGCAATTTTCTCAGTTTGGGTTTTTCTGATGTATCTTCATGATTAGATTCAGTCCTTCGAGAATACTAGGTGAGCGATATTGTGAACTTCTCAAGTTGTCACATCCAGAGGCACACAATGTCCATCTTCCCTCACTGGTCCTTTTAACATGTCCCCATCAGTTGGGGGGCACTTCATTACTTTCTGGCACAATAAAATGTACCAGTCTCACCAGGTACCTTCCCTGCCCCAGCCCAGGAATTGGCTACTTCTCTAAGGAACCCCGAGTGGACCGGGATCCAATGTAATTCTGTCTCTTTGCTGTCCATTTACTATCCATCTGGCTCTACTTATTTCCTTGTCTATTTTTTTTTAATCCTCACCCGAGGACATTTTTGCTTTTATTTTCAGACAGAGCGGGAGGGAGAGAGGGAGGAAGAGAGAGAGAGAGAAATGTCGATGTGAGAGAGACACATCGAGTGGTTGCCACCCACACAACCCCAACCAGGGCCAAGGACAAACTGCAACCAAGTTACGTGCCCTTAGCGGGAACCGAACCCAGGACTCTCTGGTCTGTGGGCCGACGCTCTAACCACTGAGCCAAACCGGCCAGGGCTTCCTTGTCTATTAATTGGAATCATCCTCTTTATATGCATTTCACACAATCATAAATATTTTTCATGTCATAATTGTCTGAAAATGTGATTTTTAAAGGCTGCATGATGTTCATTCACCATCCGACTTTGCAAATAATGCAGCAGTGGGTGTCCTTGGCACACAGTATACCTCTGACTGTCTCCGATGGCTTCCTTAGACTACATTAGCAGAGGTGAAGCTTTGCCAGGACAACAGTGTGAGCATCGTGGTTTAAGCCAATTGAGTCAGAAGAGTTAGAGAAGCAGCTGCTTTCGGTAGGCACGGTGCTGAAGCTCGATCTGGTCTGTGAGAGACAGGTGGAGAGGCTTCTCCAGGTAGGCATGCCGTGGTGAGCAGAGACGGCGGCATTACGGGGCCTGGTGTGTGCAGGGGACTTTGAAGTCACCTGAGCCTACCGCAGGGTCTTTATCAGGAAGGGGAAAAGAGCAGAAGTTGGCTGCAGGGTCTGGTTTCCTAGTGAGCAAAGGGAGGGAGTGTAGAGGTTTCTGCTTCCTCCACTATGCAGAGATTGGTGCTTGGAGAGCTGTGGGGGTCCAGGGAGGATCAGGGCCAGAGCCTGGGAGGGTAGCGAGGCACGAACCCCAGCATTTGCAGCCTTTCCCTTTGTCCCCTAGCTTGGCACCCTCTCTCCTCCCCTTGAGCTTGGCTTTGCCGGGCTGGCTCTGTCCCTGGGGCAGAGGGCCCAGCAGCAGGGTTGCTTGGTTTCCTTTCACTGTGCTCTAATGCCTATGGCCTGCTTTGCACAAAGCCTTTCTTTTCCAGGGACCTGCTCTGGGGCAAGGCCAGAGGGAGTTGGCCCCTCATCCGAGGCCTCACAGCAGCTCCGGAGCTCTGGGTGAAGGAGGGCTGGGCGCTGCAAGCAGGGTGCTGGGCGCCTGAGCTCTGCCTGTGGGGAGGTTGGCCTTGGAAAGGGATCTGCCCTCATTGGAGAGGTCCCAAGCAAGGCAGGGAGGCTGGGGGGGGGGGGGGTCAGGGAAGGCTGGGAGAGGGCGGGGACCCGGCCTTACCTCCAGCCTGTGTGCTCAGTGGTGGGTGGGGAGCTGCCGAAAGGCTTGGAGCGGATCTCAGGGCACTGAGGGGACAGGGAGAAAAATGGGAGGCACCTTGAGGAGAAGTTGGGACAGTCACCGAGTCTTACTGGTCTTTCTGAATTGGTGTTAGAAAGCCTTCAGACTGGGAAAGCGGCCCTCAGGTCACTGAGCAGTGAGGCCTCATTGGTATTCATCTCCCATGTGGAAGTCCTGGGGACTGGGGGGTGTGGGGTGGGGTTCCCCGGTGGCTGGAGGATGGTCTACAGCAGCTGATCTCTCCTCTCCCACCCCCTTCTCCAGACGTCCTTCTATGGCCGCTTCAGGCACTTCTTGGATATTATCGACCCTCGCACACTCTTTGTCACTGAGGTAAGTCGTGGCTGGCACTCTTGCAGAGGCCCCTTGGCCTTTATACCTTGTCACTTTAGAAGATCCATGGGTCATCTGTGTGTGCACTTTACATACGTTATCTCATTTCATGTGGATCTCACCGTGTCAATTCAAGGTAGATACATATCATCAGCATCATCATTTCAAACTAATAAAATTATTTCCAACGACATGAATTATATGCTCATTACAAAAGTGCAAACAGGACAGATGTTTAAGTAGAACAAAAAAGTATCCTTCATATACTCTTCCTACCCAATTCCCTCCTCTCATAGGCAATTGTATAATGTACCTTATTCAAAAAAATGTTTTTTAATCCTCACTTGAGGATACTTTTCCATTTATCTTCAGATAGAGGTGGAGGTAGAGAGAGAGAGAGAAACATTGACTGGTTGCCTCCCACACGACCCCGACCAGGGCTGGGGATGAACCGCAACCAAGGCACATGCCCTTGACCAGAATCGAACCCGAGACTCCTGGTCTGTGGGCCGACGCTCCAAACGCCAAGCCAAACCGGCCAGGGTGGTACAATTTACCTTTTATATGTGAACTGTGCTATGAATTTTGACAAACATATTCAGTCATGAATCCACCCCCACAATAACAATGTAGAACATTTTTGTTACCCTAAAATGTTCCCTCATGCCTGTTAGTAGTCAACTCCCCTGCCCAGCCCCTGGTGACCACTTGTTTTCTGTCCCTACTGTCTTGCTGTTTCCAGAATGTCATAAATGGAATGCAGCTGTGTGTGCCTGGCTTCTTTTCCTTAGCATCATGCTTTTGAGATTCACCTGTGTTGTCGCATCTATCAGTACTGCATCCCTTCTCGTTGCCATTGAAAGGATGTTCCAGAATTTGTCCATCCACTTGTTGATGAACACCTGGGCTGTTTTCAGTTTGGGGCTATCATAAATAAAACTGCTGTGAGCATTCTCTGTGTGGACGTATGCTTTCATTTCCATGAGGAAATAACTCGGGGTGGGATCACTTGCTCGTATGGTAAGTGTGGTAAGTGTGTGTGTAACTTCATAGGAGACTGCCAAACTGTTGTTCAGAGTGACTCCACGTTTTCCATTCCCATCTGCAATGTTCTAGTCATTGCCTGTCCACACCAACTCCTGGTATTGTCAAATGTAAACATACTAAGTTTACTTCAGCGATCCCAAGAAGTGTGTCTTTGTAACCTCATTATATGTATTTACAAATGTGTGTAGGAATGCATGCGGATACAAAATAGCAAAGATTTACTAAGCACTTACTGTGAGCAAGGCAGTGTTGTAAGAATTTTATATGCATCAGCTCAACAGATGAACTGAAAGCAATCCATGAGGTAGATACCACTCCAGTTTCATTTTGCAGATGAGGAGACAGACAGAAGGTAAGTCTCATGCACGTGGTGCTGGCCAGAGATGGAGCCAGGGTGTGCACCCAGGTGAGCTTGTCTTCAGAGCCCTTACCCTTAGCCAGTTTGCGTTCCTGTTCAGGTCATGAGTTTAGAGAACTCTCCCAAGATTACTCCGCGAGCAGAAGGCTGGAGCTCCTGCCCTGGGCCACATGCCCTGAGCAAGTCATGGAGCCTCTTAGTTGGCTTCCGGAGTGGATATCACTTCCCAGCCCTTCTCTGTGCTCTGTGCCTTGCTCCAGCCCCGGAGTTGATCAGCTCTGGGAGGGAAAAGCCATGGTGGACAGGAGCTCAAGGCCTGCAGGGCACCTGGGCCTCGAACAACCCCTACTGTGGGAATTAACCTGATGAGTGCTTTCCCATGCATCTCAGCAGGAGAGGGCACAGGTATTTTCCTGACTGGCCCTACCTGCCCTTCTGGGCCCGCTGCCTCCTAAGGGCAAGGCTGCTGTACTTCTGGGCTCTGTCTGGACTCTCCTAAGTTGTTGATGCAATCACGTGAACATTTGGAAGAACACCCAACCAGAGAAACTACTTACCTAGCCGAGAGTATGTGTCTTTCTAGAAAGTTACAGAGTGATGCAAAACTAGATACAGTTGCCACATAAATCCCAACATAAATGCCACCTGTTGATGGAGGAGTCAGCAGAGGCCAGTGCTTACCTCAAGAGATGGAGGTGCTAATGATGGACTTTGAGACGTGTTGAGAGACGACAGAGGGAGACTTAGAAGGTTGGAGGCATTTCAGTGCTCCCAGGTCACCACCAGGAGCAGTGGGGATGGACGGGAGGCTACAGGGTGCTGTGCTTCTGCGCCAGGAGGCTCACGCCCCTCTGCAGCCCACCCTCCCCTCATTCCCAAACCCCTTCATTTGGCTGCTGTGCACCTGCACCGCGTCTTCTTCAACGCGCTCATTCTGAAAGGCCTCAACATTCTTGTACATCGCTAAACTGAGTGTATCTAAATACCATTACTAAATACAAAAACCTCATACCTATTCATTGATGTGGCAAAGCAACTTAACTATTTACTAACTAGAAAACAAAACCAATGCAATGTAGTTTTAGAATTTTTTCAGATTTCATATGTTCCCTCCCTTCCTCAAAGATTATGATAGACTTCCCAGAAAGAGCCTTCCCTTCCCCCCAGTGCTACCCCGCCCCCCAGCACCACACACATACACCCTAGTTGGGGACTGTTCCCAGCACTGCCTGCTGGCCTTTTGGAAAGTTCTGCCCGCAGGAGATCTCCTAGGCCCCCAAAACTCTGGAAAGGTCACAAGTGGGGCCTTCAGGTCCTCACTGGTGCTAGTCCTGGCAGGTGGCTTAGCAAGGCCATCTGCATGACCACAGTGAGAAATTGGAGGCACTGAGAGCAAAGGTCAGCCCCTCCCCCACGGGCTGTGGCGCTGCCTGGGGGGCCAGTCTGCCCCTCTGCTGGGCTCACACACTGAGGCTCCCGTCTACAAAACACTGCTTCTCTCCCAGGGCCCTTGGCTGGTGTCCCCGTGGGCGGGGGCTGCCCACGCGGAGGCCGGGCCAGTTTGCCCGTCAGGGTGGGAATCTAGCGGAGGACATGAGGGGCTGGCTCTGGAAACCAGTTTCCCGAGGTGGAAAGATACTGGGCGGCTTGAGCCATCTGGTGACCCGGTTCTGAGGGGCAGTAGCTGAATGAACCGATAGACTCATCTTAGAGTTTTGCAGCTACTGTTTGCAATTTATAACCGACCAAGCTTTCAAAAGATTTCAACCCTCTTAGGTGTAATGAGGCGGAGGAAATTTTATTCACTGTAATTTCTCTTAGGAAGAAGGCTGTCTTTGTTTTATGAAAGTCTTGAGCCAGGCTTCAGAGAAGGAGGTTGGTTTGCTTGACAGAGGGGGAGAATTGTACTTTGATCAGAGAGGAGAGAGAAGGAAGAAGAGGGAAAATCAGTGGGAAGGGAGAGCAAGTAACTGTGAGCTGACAGGCCGGTGCCTGGGGGCTCTTTGGGGAAGGGTCGCGCCTTCCATGCTTGTGATAGTCATTGACTTGACGCAGTTTGTCCCCTCCACCATCATTCCTGGAAGTTGTCAGGAAAGTCTGCCTGGTTCATGAAATGTTTGCAAGAGTAGATTATTTGAGGGGATCTTGGTGGGGGGGGGGGGATCAGTCGCTGGGAGCTGGCAGAAGCCCCAGCTTTGGCCTTCCACGGAGGTCATGGGATTCCGTCTAGATCTCAGGCAGCCCTGCCCAGCTGACACCTAAGCGACTTTCAGTGATGGATAAAAGGGATTTGCTATTCTGAATTCAATAATATTTAAGGGAATAGATGGATGATAGGTTATCATCCTGAAGGGCATAGAAAACTAACTGAAACAGTGTTTACACCATTTCAATAATAGTATTGGTGTAGTAATCTGAAACTTTTTGGGGTGTTATTGTAAAATAGAATAAATAAGTATTTATACTGATGGTGGAAACTGGGGTTCTCACCATGGGAGTGGGGAGATACAAATATGAAGTAGGGGAAAAGACAAAGAACTATGAGATGTATTTGAATTGGAGGTATCAGTATGAGCTCATGATTTACACACACACACACACACACTCTTACATACTTACATGTATATTTCCCAATTTCCTGGCTCTGTTCACTGAGGGGGCCTAGAAGCAATGGCACCCAGTAACAATGCATCACTATCCAGTAAAAGGAACCAGGGCTTCTTGGAGAGATGGCCAAGTCACATGTGGGGCAAGGAGAACTGTTACATAAAGTAAGCAAGTGCCCAGAGAATGATGGAGATACAGCAAATGGCTTGAAGGGCAACCTACTGTCCACATTTGGGACAATTTGAACATTAATAAAAAGAGCCATGGATTATAATACATTGAATAATAATAATAATAATACATCCACGAGTCCATAGCAATACTAAAAAGGTGGGGGAGGGAAACTCTTCTTTACGGAAGCCTGTCAGCTAATAGACATAGAAGGAAATAATCACTGTGCACCCCTCAATGCAACAGCTGACTCCGACCAGGATCATTAATGGATGCTATTTCCATAGAGCAAAAGAGTGGTGGGAGAGAGGATATTTGTATGCTCTCAGACAGTATCACCTGAAGATTATTTAGCAATTACAAGTGTGGGGGGGAGGAGTCTTTACAGTGGTTGGAGGACACCCCTTTAACCACGTGACCAAACTTAGCATTGCTAATAATGAAAAAAACTGACATTATATGCCTCCCGATGTGACATGATTCTGGTATTAATGCCTAAATATGGGGACATATATGAAAGTCTAAAGAAGAAAAAAAAACTGCTTATTACCCCATCTGCCACAAATAATAACCATTAACATTTTGATGTATGTTTATGTACAAAAGTAGGATGTTTACATAATACGTATAAAGGTAGCTCTATCTCTATATAGATACATATAGAATCATATGATATATTTGTATACATAACATAAATGTATACATGATATATTTTCTTTTAAACATAGCATATCATGATCATGAGCATTTTCTCTTGTCATTAAATGTTTCAAAATGTGTTTAATAACTGCATGTATTTACCATGTGGTTATTCTGT